AATACCAGTAATGCATGAATTGTGTCAAATTTTAAAAAAGAATGTGACAAGAAGACCCGTAATACGTTGAATCAAGGTCACAACAAGTTTAATAGCGTGTGAGTAAAATGATGCAAGAGTTGAAAATCAGATATTGTTAAGAAACTGGGTACTTATTGTCAAAATGTCAACTGATTCGTTGTCTCTTGCAAGGCCAAGAACTGAGGAAGTGAATAGCCAGAAAGTTTATTTTAATCAGCAGAAGGTGCTTTGCCACTGAGCTCATAACGAGATTCTACTTGCTCAAAAGCTTCCACAGCAGTGTGATAGCCAGAAAGTTTACTTGATAGTCTAGGACTTAGAGGAAGCTGGGTGCAGTAGCAAACGCAGATCCTGCACCACTGGTGTCAGATAACAGCCCAGAAGTTCTAGGCTCACTGTTGGATGGAACCATTACTGGAGCTGTGGTAACCCCTAATGCAGAACCCTTCGATCTATTCACAAGGATAAATGGTTTAGTCACTAAATCAACAGAAGGGAATTCTGTAGGCTTCTGTCCAGATGGTTCTGACATGCCATCAACAATATTTGCCTCCCGCGAAACACTAGAATCTGACTTTTGAAAACCCACACTCTCTTCTCTAGAAGGTGGCAAGCACAAGCATAAGTTTAATGTATACTGCTGGATTGCTTGAGTCTGAACACAGTAAACCTTAACAATAGGTTCTTCTTGAGGATCATTTGTCCCTATAAAACTTAATATAGGCATAGTGACAGTAAACTCGGATAAGAAGTCCATCCTTGTATCAGCTGGAGATGAGCCATAGTCCAAATGCGCAACATATATGGCGTTTCTTTTCGCATTTGCAAGCAAGAGGAGGCCTGCCTCAGACAAGGCTATGACTTGGTTGAAAAATGCCTCCTCTGCTCGTGGCTCAGTTGAGCTTCTTAGATCAAGTTTCTGAGTACAATTTCATGACTCAGACTCAGCTGATAGGAGCCACCCTTCTTCCCCAGCTGGAACCCAAATCTTCATCTCTCGATTTAGAGGCCCCTGCAAACATTGGCAACACAGGCAGAGTTAGCAACTAAGCAGAACGATAAGCTACAGTATAAAATGTAAAGTCAGCACCGCAGAGGAACTTTAGCATTAGAATAAGGCTCCGAAAAGTTGGAAATAATAATCCAAAAGAATTACCCCAGTGGTGAGTATGATGTGATCAGGTCTCTCAGGGGTTGTCACAAATGTTGATGAATTGACCGGATAGCCATCATGAGGTCTCAGAACTGCAACTGGTTGTGTCATAAAATCTTTCCATATCTTAACCTGTTGGTATTACGAAAAAAGGAATAAGACTCACATGCAGACAAAAACACTAGTTATGGCACAATGTGACCAGGTCGAAAAAGAGACTACACAAGGCAAGTCTGGATGAAACTAAACTAGTCAATACCCCCAAATTCGAAATAAGCTAGAATAGTAATTGAATGTCAACTGCACTAGCAAAGAAAAGCTAAACAGGCTGAGCGGTTCCAACTAAGTAACTTCACCATTCCACCTAGTAAGCAATGTAATCAGCTTAAACTTGAGTTTTTTTTAAGTTTAATCTCTCTTTATAAAGATATTAATAGATGATGCAAATAATAAGACTCAAGTGAAGTAAAATAATAAAGATAAAAACAAACCGTGCCGTCAACAGATGAAGAAATGAGTCGTGTGGTCATCCACTGGCATATAGATAAATCTGTAACCTCTCCATCGTGCTTGCCAACAATCTTGACACCGTGAATCAATTGATCAAGAGGGTACTGAATAGGATTCTCCGCCGAGAACACTTCTCCTCTGCCAACTTTGGAAGTATCAATTAAGAGGACGTGTTTACCAATCGAAACCACCAAAATTTCCTGAAAAATATGATCTTAGGCAATCAGAAGCATATACACAATTTAGAAAGGAATAAACTTATGAAATGTTGTTTGCATACCTGTTTATGGGAATGCCAACAAACACGTGAATGTTTGGTGTCTTCCTCTCCAAGTATCTGAAGAGCAAGAACAATCTTTCCAGTTATCAGGGGATCATCCTCTCCCTCCTCAGATCCTTCAGTTATCTTCCACACGAAAACTTTTCCATCCAAGCTTACACTGTTTTGGAGAATTAGAAATGAAACTGTTAATGGCCTTGGGAGAATAAAAAGACGTAAATAAAAAAAAAGCAGCATAACATACCTAGCCAAGAGATGAACATCCTGAGCAAAGAAGGCCATATCTGTCACTCTATGTACACACAAATACAAACACTAGTTCATTAATGGATAACTTCAATTAAACAATGAAAAGATTGTAGCATATGGATGATAACTTCAAAATTAACCTAAGAATGGCCACGAAACAAAGCTCTTAACGCAGTGTTAATATTAAGAACACGAATATTCCCTCCTTTAAGTCCATAGCAAATGTAAATCTTATTCACAGCGATTTGCCTTCCCACAACAAGCTGAGGATCCGACCCATACTTAGTAATCGGAGTCACCTCAAGCTGAGGCTGAATCTCACCGTGCAACCTCACATCAACATCGTACACAGCATGCTCCCCACTCAACCGCCTCCCCATGGGAAACTTACAGCTCGGGACACGAATAGGCCCCGAAGGAAACGAACGAGCGATCTCCTGCGACGGTTCTTGGTTCGCTTCCCTATTATTGAGGAGAGCAAGAATGTGCGTTCCGGGGTTGTGATTGTGATTGTGATTGCCACGTGGCGATTGGAGGTTCAGAGGCGGCGTGGGTGAGATAGGGTTCGATGTTGGGAAGAGGAAGGCAATGGACCTGCTGGGGGAGGACTCGACGAAGGTTTGAAGAGAGTAGCGAGATTGAACGGTGGAGGATTGTTAGGGTTTGTGTTGTTACCAGGTGAAGACGCCATTGGAGAGATTAGGGTAGATGATTCAAGATCGCTGAATCTAGGGTTTGCGAAATTGATCAAATAGAAGCAACGAAAGGGAAAAAAACAACTCGATGGAACTCAAGAAGATAGAGAGAGGAAGAGTCAGTTATAGAGCGCGAAAAGCAAAAGAGACGGGTGAACGAACGAACGACTTGAAAGTGAGAAGATCTCAATTCTTTTTTGTTTTTCTCAGTGAAAATTGAAATAGAGGGAAGTAAGGCGGATGACTAAAAGTTAAAAAGGTGAGAATCGTGGGTATTTATAGTAGTATCTTACTCAGTGTAACATTTTTTTGCTGGGCCCTATTTCTTTTTATTGGGCCTCGTAATATACTAATCAAGCCCGAAGCATTCTCTCGTAAGTTTTTCCTTAGAGCATTGTCATATCATGATAAATAGATATTCTCATGCTAACAATAGATATTCTCATGATAAAAATGATGAACGTTGTCACAAAAGAAAAAATGATGAAATGATATAAAAAAAAGTGGAAGAATGAGAATGGATTCTCTATCTCTTGCTGGTAATTTCTTAATTGCGTAATCGCTAAAAATTATTAAACTGTAGAAAACATTAATTAAGTTTCGGAATTTAAAATTTGGAGAATGGTGGAAATACATATTAAATTATTTAAAACTTTTTATATGATATTTATTTTATTATAAGAAAATTATAAATAATTAAACTAATGATTATAAAATGTGAAAATAAGTAAAATTTATACAAAGATACTTTAATTCTTATTATAAATAGTTAGCTTATTTTCAATATGTTTTAATTATATAGTGACATCTTATAATATAAATAAATTATAGTATAATTTTATTTACAACATAACTATTTATTATTAAAAATATTATTATTTATTAAAAAGTTTAACATGGTATTATCATATAATTAATTAAAATAAAAGTATTGATTGTTAAATAGTTTACTAAAGTTCACTTTTTCATTTAATACAATTTCCGTTGTATTTTTATATGCAAAAATACAAATTTACATTTTTACGTTTTTTTTATTTCGTAATTTTTTTGATTGATTAAATACATACAAACTTAGATTTAAAACGTTTTTACGTCATATTGTAAGGTTACTAATTACAACCTTATCTTCATCATCAATCCACTATCAATCTCTCAAAGATTATATACAACAATCAATCTCCAGGATCAACCATTGGTGCACAATAAAAGAAAAAAATAAATCAAACATCTTTATAGGACCTGCAACTTTTTGATAAAAGCCATCACAATGTATAAAAGCATCACGTAAAGTTTACATCCTTTCTCAAAAAATATTATATAGCTTTGGAGATTAACTATCACAATTTGAATTATTCTTAGGTCCACGTCTTAAAGTGAATTTCTAGGTTAATCAATCAGTAGGATAATATTATTTCATGTTTGATATATTTAAAAAAAAAACAAAATTTTGTTAAATTATGGTATTATGTTTTTAAAATAAAAATAGAAAAAGAAATAAAATAATAATATTGATAAAATAATAATGTTAAATTTTTTCTAACATTATATTATGTTTTAAAATAAAACGATTAAAATAAAATAAAACAGTAATAATTACAAAAAATAATTAAAAAAATCTTTTAATGTATCTTTAAAATGAAAACAAAATATTGTTATATTATATTATGTTTTAAAAATAAAAAGATAAAAATACATAAAAATAATATAATTGGTTAATATTAATTTTTTTGATTTAATATTTACAATTTTTCAAAAAATTTATGATTTATTCAAGGGTTTACAGTTAGGGTTTAGGGTCTCGGCCATCTCATAATCATTGGTGAGTTTAAACGCTTGGCCCATTAAAGCAAATAGAGCTTATCTATAGGATTATGATTAAGCTTCAAAAGCAATAAATAGAAGGTAACGTCCACTCGCATAATCCCTCCTTTATATCTCCCACTAAATATATCCTCTCTCTCCCCCACGTTTCTCGCCAACAAAACAAATTCTCTCTGTGATCTCATAGCTGTTCAACCTACACGAATCTCGGAATCTCCGGCGAAAATTTTCAATCAAAGCAGGGGAGTAATTTAAAAAAAAAACAAAAGAGAGAGAGATGTGTTGTGGACGGATATGCATGCTGTGCACGTGTTTGATTCTGGTGGTGATCGCGGTCGGGTTCTTATTCGGATTCGGAGTTTTCAAGGATGGTTTCCACAAGATCCAACAATCCGTCCATCTCGAATGCGATCCGAGATCCGGCTGCGGACGTCGCGGTTACGGTTTCCCCGGTAATAACTAGCTAGCTGTGTCATCTCAAACCAGCAATGTTTGGTTTTGGATTCAAATTTGGATATATCGGTTCTTATAGGTTTTGTTTTTTGTATTTTAATTTTCTCCAATACCTCACATTGACTGATTGATTGCGCGTTATAATGTTTCGTTTAATCATCAAAGATTTAGTTTTTGACCATTATGATTGATTGTTTTTTTTTTGTTGGTTACTTTCAATATCTTGTCTATTAAAATACAATCCCGATCCAAGTACGTAAGCTTTATATGTTAGTGCAGTTAACAGCTTTTGAGCAAAGAGTTAAAAGCGTCTTTATTTCAGATAACCCCAAAAGCATAATTCTGTTAGAAGAAAAAAATCCATAATAAGAGAACAAAATAACATTACTAATTCTAATATTTATCTACAAGTAAAGTTAAAGATTCTCGATTAGTAGAAAATAAGATTCTTGTACCGGGTAAATCTCTATCATAAAATTAATATTTCCCTAAGGATCCATTGTTGCGGGTGGTCTAATGATATGTTAAACAGGTGAGTAAGTTATCAATACGGTAGTGGGTAATAAATTGATTTGTAACCAAATTAAAACAATACCGGGGTAGTTTCGGGTTTTCAGAAACCATATGTAATTTAACTACCAAACCCATAGACTCTATCTAAAGCAGCGGGTGTAGAAACCAGTAAGAAAAGGGAAAGCCAACTTCATACGCGACAGAGATACCAACAAAGAGAGGAGAAGGAAAAGCCAAAACAGACGATTAGAAAGAGATGAGAATCACTGTGATGATGACTGCCGGTGAACAAATCATTGGCAACCAGAACATAACCTCTTTTTGGGCTTACTATTTGTTTTCAGTCTTAATCAAGTTCCACTTAGAGATCTGTTACATATATAGCACTCCTTAGTTCATTTGAATCATTCCTTAAATGGACAATTAAATCCAAGAGTTGTGCTGAGAGATGCGGGTAACTCTTTACAATTTATATTTGGTTCTGGTACTTCTTTTCATATAGCATGATGGAAATGCTCACTAGTCTTGTTAATAACTTACACTCTCAGATTGCTGAGACTCATGGACTCACCTAACATGGAATTCCTTTGTGACCTGGATATGCTGGTAACATCTCTATCATCTGATTTTGGATTAACTGTATGTGTTTCAACCAAATTGTGAAGTGAACCGTTTCTCTCCCTCTCTTTTTCTATGTGTAGTGCACTATAGATTTGGAGGATAACGTTCTGGCTGTTGGAGGAGGTGAGGTCTCGGTTACCTTTTTGCAAGGCTAGTTCTCAATCTTTGAACTCCGTTTATGTTTATACCCTTTATATTCAATTAACCTGACAAAAGTAAACTGCACCCTGTTCAGAGAATGACTTCCCTTCCAGATTCCTGGATGAATAACCTTTTTTCCAATTCAAGCATTTAGCTCTTTGGTGTTGATGAACTATAGATGGAATTGGAAATAAGTTCTTCTGATCAAATTGTTTTGGTCCTTTAGGTTCCTTCTGGTTTTACAGAGAAGAAAGAATACCGCCCTTGCAAGCCCAAGCAACCCTTCAAGGCAAAACACAAAGGAAATGAAAATCTTAGTTTCAAGTTTTTTTCTCACTTCTTTTTATGCCTTTTGAGTCTTTGTTAACCATTTCACCATGTGACTCATAAGGACCTGAATTTGAAGCCAAGACTGCAAAGCTTGTGGAGTTAGGCTTCTCCCGGGAAGCAGTGATACAAACTCTCAGATTATTTAAGGCAACCAAGAACAAGCTGCTTGGTTTCTCTTTGGCGCCTGAAAGATTAAACTTCAAATTGTCCCATCCCATATACTAAAAGACCAGCAAATTGTTATCTAAAGAAAAGGTGTAATCTGCTGGATTTTAATAGCTCTTCTTTACACAACACAGAGAATGTTTTTATTTTCTTTGTGCAACAGAAAAGGGGTTTTATAGAACTGGAATTGTGTTGGATTTGCCAAATGCTGCAAAGCAAACAATGATTCATCTCTTGCTTCCATCAGTGAGTCAAGACTTTGGCTCTGTTTTGGACTATCTTGACTTTTACTCACTTCAAGTATGATCATTAAATGATGAGGATGTGAGATTATGAATGAGCAATTAATTGAAAAGCATTCTCTATGGAACATAACTATTTGGTTATGTCTGAAACATGGTGACAAATGTAGAAAACTCAACAAAGATATTGTATAGTTTCAAACCAATACAAATAATAAACTCGAACAAAACTCAGGCAAAACATTCCCAAAAAAAAAACACAAAACTTCCAGAAAAACTAATCATTTAACCTAGCAGAAACATTCCTTAGCTTAGAATAAACCTTCCCAGCAGGAGACCCCATAATCAAACTACAAAGCGAACTCCTCGCAACCTTAATATTAGTAAAAGCACCCAAAATATGAATCCTCGTATCCGCAATCACAATCCTCGTCTTCGTCGCATTCTCAATCGCAAACTTAGTCTTCCCTCCTTTCCCCGACAACCTCCCAATCGCTCTAGACAAATGCTCACCTTTCAACGTCTTCACATCCTTAATCTCAAACGACTCAACATACAACTCATCCATCCTCAGCAACGCCACCGCATCCGGGATATCGAAACCAAGCATGAAGGCGTGGACGAAGTCAGCGGATTTCTGGAGGTTGCTGACGTCAGGGGTGTCGGCACGTGTCTTGAGCTCGACTTTGCGGGATTTGAGATTCATACGTATGTCTACTTTCATCTGGTTGTAGACTGGGTCGTAGATTTCTGACTCCCATACTTTTTTGAGAGGTGTGTAACGGTTTGGTGGGACCGGGATTTTTCTGAACTGGACTTTGCCGTCCGACATCTCGTGTGCTTTTAAGGGTTTGAAGATTGGTTTTGTTGGTAATGGGGTGGGTTCTGTTGGGATCTCAACTTCCATTTGTGTTGTTTCTGCCATTTTTTTAACCTAACAAAGTGGTATGGTTTAAAGCAAGATGGATCTTAAAAACTGAAGCTAACATGAGTAAGTACATGAGCTACTAACTAGTAATTTAGATTATAAGAATACATACCTGAAGCTTTGTTTTGGGAGCTGGTTGAAGGAGGAGAGAGAGGAGCTGTTGCAGCTGCTATGGAGGAGGAAAGGTTTCTCTGGCTGCTTGAAGGTTTTAAAGAGATTAGGGTTTTAACTGTGTCGCAGGAGATTTATACTTTACTTATTGGGTTTTATGAAAATGTCAAAGGTTGGCCCAGTAAAGGCCTTATTCTCTAATTTGTGTTGGGTCGGCTAAACTGGAGTCAATTGGATTGGGTGAACCTTACACTAACAGTGTTTATTAAATGGTTGTGATTAGGCAAAAACTCTATCTACTCATCATTTAAAACGTCCATGATAATGCAAAAATTGACATGATTACAAACGGCTTGTCTTCTTCTAGACTACATTTGTTTTTAGATGATCTCAAGTTTATGTTAAGAGTGTGTTTTTTTAAACTAATTTCAAGAAGGCCAAATTACTAACGATAAACGAACCTGGTTGCTCTAGAGAAGGTGAACTGATCTGTACCAATATAGGCATATAGCAATTATTTTTATTGGAAGTTACGAGACCATTACGATTTGGTTAAAGAATGTGTTGCACTGCATGCCTAATTTTGTCTACTTGTTATATGCATTGTATAAAGGCAGGGTAGGTCTTGAGATTTATGGAGCCATAGGTGATTTTTGAAAGATTTGAACTAAATTTTTCTTTTTACAAATTTGGAAGTCTAAAAATTTGGTTTTGGGACTTTCGTATATGTAATTTTTTTGAAAAATTTAGGGGTTTGCAAATATTTCATTAGGCTTAGCTCATGACCAACCTTGTATAAAGGAATGCAAATCCTAATGTCGCGTACTGGCAATTAGTTTTTGGGATTCATTGTATGCCAATTGGTAATGAATTTGATGTCTCTAAAACTCGGTTTCAGTCCAAATTATTAACATGGTATATTAAACAAAAATCCTGTATAAATAAGAACATAAAAAAAAAAACCAAAGCATATCTCACGTTTTATATATAAGTTTTATATATAAAAACATGTAAAGGTTTTAAATAGATAAAGAAAACCATAATAAATTATTTAATCATGAGACTTAACGACCTTAGGACTTAGGAAAGAGCCTTCTTAATCTACAACTAACTCTTCCTTCCCCAGAAGACGAATAGCATCAGAGATATCAGAACCGAGCATGAACGCTTGAACAAAATCAGCAGATTTCGAGAGATTGCTGACGTCAGGAGTGTCGGCTCGGGTCTTGAGCTCGACTTTGTATGACTCGAGGTTCATCCTGATGTCCACCTTCATGTGTTCGTAAACAGGTCCGTATATACCTAACCACGCTTTCTTGAGATGTGTGTAACGGTTTGGTGGTATGGGTAATCTCTCTTATCTGGACATTACCGTCAGACATCTCAGTAGACTTTGCCATAATTAACCTACAAGGTGTGTAATAATCAAACATAGATAAAGCAAGACAGATTTCTAAACACAGGTTTTTACACCTCAACCTAACAAGGATTATTGTAGGTCTAGGAGATGGTAAATAATTAATTCTAGAGAGGTATTGAGATTCGAATACATACCTGAATCTTTGATTTGGGAGCTGGTGGTGGAAGGAGAGAAGGAGAGAGAGGAGCTGCTGCTGCTAGGGTGGAGGAAAGGTTTGTCTGACTGCTTGAAGGTTTTTAAAGCTTGAAGGTGTTTATATACTTTATTAGGTTTAATGTCAAACGTCGGCATGCGTATTGGGCCGAGCTAGATCGGAGTTAATTGGATTAGGTTGCCCTTACACTAACAATGTTTTTTTTTAATTAGGTTGATTAGGCAAACCCTACTAATCAGTTAAAGCGGCATGATATGCAAAAAAATTAACCCGATTACGAACGGCACCACGTCCGTAGAAGAAAACTTTTTATTTAGTTGAATAATTAGTAAACTAGGTAATAACCCACGACTTGCGCAGAATGAGATTATTATTTTTTGTTACTTATAAAATAAAAATGATATTATGGATCTTTATCATGGATATTGGTTCAGTTTTTATTAATATCCTAAAATATAATTATCATTTTAAATTTCTATTTATTTTGGTTTGTTTGGTTTAAATGTTTGATGTTTTTAATTTTTTCGATGATAACTAAAAACTATTGTTATTTGTTTGATTTTGTTTTACATAAATTTTAGACATTTTTGATGTCGAACTAATAGTTTCCTATTATAATTTCTAAAAACATGTAAAATCAAATAAAATCTAAATAATATTTGAAGAAAAAAAAAATAAAATTATTAACACAAAATATTTTACTATAATTCGAGCGATAGTGAAAGAAAACATTAAAAAATCAACTTTAATAAAAATTAAAAGTCTCACTTGTGGTGAATATTTAGTTATATAGTCGCTCATGGCAATGTGTACATGTATGTATATGTAAAGCATATAAATATGATAATAAATATATGCATATACTGTTAATTAAGATTTAAAATATTTTTGTTCAAAATAACACATGATAATAAATTCTTAAATAAAATTAAGTAAAAATAAACAAATTTAGAAATTAATAACATTTTTTTCTTATGAAAAATCAAATTATACCCGTAAACAATAAAAATAATATATATTACAAAGTGAAAACACTAAAAATCGATTTTGTGATTTTTATTTATTTTAAAAGCTTTTTATTTCTGATTTTCTTCTAGCAATTTGATTTTGTTTCTAATTCTTGGTCTGATATGAAAAAATTATAAAGTGATAATATTTGACTAAACTAAAGATCCGATTTTACGTGTGGTGTTTTTCACCTCAGTTTCTTTAATATAATCAATTACCGTATTTGTTGTTATTGTGTACCGAAGCCTCAACCATAACCAACTTCGGCAAGGTACGAAACTTTCAATTTTTATAAACATTTTCATCGTAACATTTTAGTTGATGCGAATCTTAATAATTTTGTAATTTTTTTACAATAAAAATATTATTTATTAGTTTCACGTATAAAATTTTAGTTTATTAATACAAAAACTAAAAAAAAATATAAGAAAAATAAATTAATTAAAAATAGTATATAACATATTAAATAATAAATTTAAAAAATTAGTGTTAATACATTAATTGTCAAATGATCGTGAGACCGACATATATCAATTACTATATGAACACATTTATTATAATGCTTGTCTTTTAATATATAAGGGATTATAAGTTAATGAGAAACATTACAAATGATTTTACATTCCATAATTTTACTTGTTTTATACGAATTCGTGTCTAATTTCCCGAATTGTCCAACGAGATCAAAACTTGACGATATTATTATGTCATATTGAATATTTTTTTTAAGTCCTTTATCCATTAATTATTCATCTTTTTTCTTTGTAACAAATTAATTCAATCTTTTATGATATTGAAAATCTAGACTTTATAGAAACATTGATGAACACTTTTTCAAACCAAAAGAATAATAGAGCTTCCACAGCTTGTCTTCTTCTACAATCATCTATTTTAGATGACTCAACTTTATATAAATTTATAACATAATGTGTTGCTTATTGCATATGACCCTCAGACCCTGACACACCTCCATTTGTTATGCATTTTCCTTCTTCTTTTTTTACTAAATGCATTTTAGTAGTTTAAAGAAAACCAAATCCTTTACACACAAGAACATAAAGAAAACCAAAGCATGTCTCATGTTTTATATACACACAAACACATTGGAGAGGTTTTGAACTGAGAAAGAACACACATTTATAAATTATTTAATCATGGGACGACGACTTTAGGACTTAGGAGGAGAGCCTCCTCCTCCCAACATGAAAAGGTTAGAGGGAACAGATATGCCACGTGACATTCCGAGTGCAGCGTTACGACGGTGGTAACGACACCTAAAGGAGCCAGGGTGTGTTGTTGGTGCACATAAACAGTTTTGCCTCACGCTCGATGACTTCACCATACCCGCCGGGCCACCACCACCACGTACACGTGGAGACATGTTGTAAGCTTCTTGTCGTTTAGCGTCTTCTTGGCTTATGTCTTGATGTGTCTCCTTAAGTTTGTTGATCTTCATTGGCATCGTCCTCTTCGGTTCTTCTTCTTTAACTTTCCCTTCCATTTATTTTTTCTCTTTCTTCTTTGTTTCTCTCTTACCTTCTTACAAATAGAGAAACCTCTAAAAATAGTCGACAATCGAATTATGATGATATCGAGAAAAGCTTTTAGAAATTACAAAATGTGTAAGCTGACGTCAATGAAACAATATTCGAGATTTTCTAAATATAGTGACTTTTCTAAATTTCTGTATACCATTTATTTTGTGGTTCTGAATATTCGAGATTTACCGTTTTCTTTGCCGTAAACATATGGTTGCCTCTTGTTAGGTGTGTAATCAAACAATAACTTTTTGTTGACAGAACTGAAAAATTCGAACTGGCCACATGCTGGTAAAGTGGAATTATATTGGGCTCTACTAGTAATGAGATTTGTTATAACGTACAAAGCCACAATCGATTGTTATTCTGTAGACTATAGTCTCAAAAAATGTATTGTATTTAGAAGATTGTACTTTCATGATTTAAGCTCAACTCTTAAAACTTTTGTTGATAACAAAAGCCCCATTGTTGGTGGTAGTCATGGGTGTCCAATTTGGTTTCAGTTCAGAGTCAATTTGGATTCAATTTTTTTAGGAACACAAATTTTGCCTTATTTAAAAGTTCGGTTTGATGTCAGTTCAGATTTACTCGGATTTGGTTCAAACACAATAATACATTGGAAACCCGATTGAACTATTTTAAATTTGGACTTGGTTCTAACTCGGGTTTTAGTCATTCAAATAGTTATTTGTTACTCAAAAATGCATATTTAAGTTCACAAACTTGAAAATGTAAACAACTTACAGTGACAAAGGCATGGTACCATAAATGAAAAGTGGATATATTTCCTATATATTAATTGAGAATCATTTAAAAATTGTAACCTTAAGTTTGTAATAATTAAAAATAACCTCAATCTTATGTGACATATCTCTTTCGCTTCTATTTCAAATCCCAAAGATTCTAGAGCATGTGATATAATGTATAGTCTAAAAATTATACTCTCTAATAATATAATATTTCGTAGGCTATAATTGGTTGCATATATCAAATGTTTATTGTTTCGCATGCTTTCCTTAAATAAAACCTATGGAATTACCTAATGTGATTAAAATATATAAGACAATTAATGATTTTAAACAATAAAGATTTGAAACAATATGTATACTTTTCTCATTTTGTTTATTTATTTATTATTAAAATAAATTACACAGTTACATTAATTATATAATAAAAATATAGATTTTTTGTGTATGTTGTTTACTAAAACTGTTAAAAGTCTTACATAAACTTTTAGGATCAAGATTTTAATTTTTTTTCTTTATTAAAGTATAATGATTATAATATCATATGAAAAAATAATTTTAGTTTATATATACTTCATAGGGTTTTAATTAAACTATACATCGTATGAAAATACATACTTATATTTTGATATTTGCATTGAACATATATTGAAAAGTTAATATAATTTGGAAATATGTCTTTGTTTTTTAAAATGATTATAAATTATTGAAACTACTAAACATCTCCCATTAAAAAAAAATCGTTGGTGTAAAGTTTTGTTACACAAATATTAAATAATCATAAAATCATATGAGTAGCAACCTCATTTAATAGATATTCATTTTTAAAAATGTGCTATATTTCTATGTTTATATCATCTAAATTTAATTATATATCATATACAATATATAAGATTGATTATTTTGATTTATTTACCCTAATTGTGAATAAACAAAAGTGATAGTTAAATTTCTATACATACGCCAATTTATTACATAATAGTAATTGATTTCTTAGTTATTTAATATATATATATATTTATTATTTTATAATATGCAGAAAAATATAAAATTAATAATAAATAATAAATATAAAATACTTATTGTGCATAAAGTGCAGATCTTAACCTAAGAATGTATCTCTTTAATTATTTTAAATCTTAACTATTTTCTAAATCTCAGGTCAAAACAAACAAACAAAATGAGAATAAACTTCAAAATAAATATTTATATCGAGTAATAACCAAAATAAAGAAAAACAGAACAAGAGAAAAAATTGCAAATAAATAGGATTGACACGTGAACGTAAACTTCTCCTAACCATAATTAATTTTTAAATTATTAAATCATGATATAAACCTGAGTTAATTTTTAATTTGTTAATTTTAAAATTTTTAAATTTTTTAAATCATTATGGTTATGTTAAATCATGACCATAATTAATTTTAAATTATTTATTTGTATTTGAAAAACTTAAAATCTTGTTTTTAAAAATATTTAAAATTTAACTTAATTTTTATAAAATTATTATTTTTTAAATATTGTAAAAAATATAATTTTATAATATTATTAGACAAATAAATAAATTATATTAAATTATTTTTGAAACTTTATATATTTTAAATGCAAATATTTTACCAAATGTTTCTTAAGAAAACATTACAGAACTTGCTAATACTCTATCAATAAAGCCTAGTGACACTCTGTTTATTTTTCGTCACTCGAACACTGAAAAGTAAATAGATTTATGAAATCGAGTCCATTAAATTCTAAGATTTGATCTACAGTTCTTATTACAATTGTTTCTGATACTACATATAGATAATTGTATAAAAACTCTAAAAATCTAAAATTCTAAAATTTCAAATATATATAAAAACAATCATATGTAAATTTAAAATTTGTCAATACTAAAATTTTGTATTTAATTACATATATTCACCATGTGCAAGGCGCATGTCTTATGCTAGTACATATTTATTAAGGTATTTATTCAAGATTGAGTTTATATTTGGCATGATATTTTTTAGGTTTTTTGAATATTTTGGGGTCTTCTGGATATTTATATGAATTCAGATTCGGTTTGTGTAAAACCCAAAATATTGTAGAATATAATTTATTTGGATATTATGTTGGGTTTACTTTGGTTAAGATTTAGTTTTTATTCGATTGGATCGGATTAGATTTTAGGGATCAGTTTTTTTACCCTCTCCTAGATGGTGGATATATACAAAGCATAAAGCTGATTATGGCTAAACGTGAAAGTGACTTTAGACCTTAATAGAATAGATAAAAAATTGTTAATAACTTTTTAAAATTAATTAATTAATTAAACAAACTAAAACAGTAAAGTAAAAGAAAATAGTTTCTCTAACTATCTTCAATGTAACAAAAACGCTAACTAGAACATTCTTCTGTAACATAAATCAAAACATATAAATATATCAAAACTAGGTGTTTTGCCCGCATTTGCGGGCATAATTATCTTATGAATATTTATTATCTGATGTTTCTTTAATTTTAAAATCAGCATAATAAGTTATTATTTATTTTTTCAAAAGTACACATGAAACATCAAATAATTATCAATGACAAAACTCAAACATTAGAAATATTTAAAAGAATATATTTCTATAATTATTTTGCTTGATTTATATTTATAAAAATATTTTTACTTAATTATATTTGATTATAATTTTTTATATCTTAATTTTACATTTTATAATAGAAAACATATTTTCAAGATAACAATATAATGCATAAGTTATTTATTTTCTAAAAATATAATATGATAAAAAATATAATTATATAATTATATAAGATTATAGAAATTATGACATATAATTAAAATTACCTAAAATCATGGAAAATTTAATGAATCAGCAAATTCACTTCTTAAATAATTTTTCTTGAGTGATGATTTATATTTAATTAATAATATATAATTTTCTATATTATTTTTAAATTATATAATATAAAAACATACTTTGAAGATAACAACATAATACATAAGAATTACCTTATTTTATAAAAGTATACTATTATTAGTGTAAATTTATTTCAATTATAGAATAACTACAACTTTTTATATCTTAATTTTAAATTTCTAATAGAAAAATATATTTTCAAGACAACAACTTGATACATAAGAAGTATCTTATTTTCTACAAAATCTGATACTACTAATATTAATTTGCTTTAATATATAAGAAATTATATACAAAATTATAAAATTATGGTAAATTATTAAAATTACCTAAAATCGTGGAAAATATGTCCTATCAACAAACATCAAATTAACTTATTAAATAATAGTATAGATTTCTTACATGTTAATTTTAAATTTAATTATATAAATATAATTTTTTTAAATAACAACATAATACATAAGAATAAACTTATTTTCTAAAATATCATATTATTAATATAAATTAGTTTTAATTATATAATAAATAATGAACAAAATTAGAGAAATTCTGATAAATGATCAAAATTACCTAAGATCACGGAAACAAGTCAACAATTTCAAATTTCAAATGTTTTTTTGATGATTTATATTTAATTATTAATAATATAATATTTATATCTTAATTTTAAAATTTATAATACGAAAATATGTTTTCAACATAACAACATAATAAATAAGAATTATCTTATTTTAGAAAATATATAATTATTAATATTAATTCGTTTTAGTTATATAATAAATATAATAATTTTTATATCTTGATTTAAAATTTAAGGTTTATTTAAAATATATTTCAAGATAACAACACAATTCATAAGAATTATCTTATTTTCTAAAAATATGATATATTAATATAAATTCGTTTTATTTATAAATAAATTATATATAAATAAACAAAATATGATAAATAAACAAATTGCCTAAATTTATGGAGAATATGACAACTAAGCAATTTTACTTCTTAAATAATAGTATAGATCACAGAAGTTTAAAACGATTGAAACATTCTTTTTCTTCTAATCATATCTCTATAATATTATTTGAGAAGTCAGTTTCCTAGGTGTCGTGCTCACGTTAACTCTCGCGATGGTTGATTACATAGATACCTTTAATGAATTGTTAGATTTTAAGATTATTATTAATTCTTTTATGTAATTTCTTTTTACCTTTTTCCAAATAACATACATAATAAAAAGGAAAAATATTTCTAAATTTTAAAAACGAAATTATATGTATATAATATGACTTTATTAAAAAGGAAAGTTCACAAAATAGTAATACCCCCATTAATATATATTTTTAAATAACATAAAATATATTTTAAAAATAATAAAAATATATATGTTCATGAACATCCAAAAATTTATCAGTTACACTTTATTTTCTAATATTTTTTAGATATTATGAAAATATAGTTTGATTTGACTTAACTAAAATAAAGAGTAGATAAATGTTATGAAAATACATGTATAATTAAGCGATACATAAAACTATTTTGATTTGATTCAACTAAAATAAAAAGTAATTATACTTCAATTTTAATTTAAAAATATAACTCAATATACTCACAAAATGAATGACTCGACTAATCTAATTTATATCCAAATTAAACATCTAACTACAATAAGAACATATAATTTATTAATAATAATATATTTAATTGTAAACATATAAGAACATCTAACTAAGAATATATTTACATATCTAAGACAATAACCAACCGAAATGAAATAAGAAAATTAATCAAAGTTTTATTATATTTAGAATAAAAAATATTATAGCTGAACTCGAAAAATAGATATTATCCAATATACCAAATTGATAACCAAACCGACTATTGATCCAAAAAATAATTAAATCGACAATATCCAAAGTCATACGTATAATTAGAGTAATATAATTTATATATATATATATTGATTCAAAACTAAAACTAAATATCATCCATTTATTATAAAATTTTACTTTTATAAATATTTATACCCGTGCATGAGCACGGGAAATCACCTAGTATTAAATAAACATGAAAACAACTGTTTTGTGTCTTATTTTTCTTATTCATGTTTTCTCGTCATGTAAGTTTATTTTCGATTAAGTGAGATAAATATGCATACAATATACTTCTAATAATACATTGGTTAATTATTTAATTTGTCATCAAAACAATTATTTTTGTTTTATAGATGCATTGGATATTATGGCAAAACCAAATTTAATGGGTGAATCTCAATCTAATCACGCAGAGTCAAAGAATCATGTTTCGACTGGTTCTCCAGGTGATTACAAGTAGTTTATGAATAAATCAGATCATGTTAATAAAATCAAAATTTATTTTCGAAAGTCTTTCTCAAAAAGAAAATAAAAATGTATCTTTTTATAGGTACACTAAATATGGAAAAGCATGATTTTGAAAAAAAATCGCCTTCTCCTAAACCTGCAAAGAACCCTCAGATTCCAAAACATATTTGTTTTTCATACTACGCTCATCCAACCGATCCTGAAGCTGCTCATTCATGTAATGCTGTATGTAATATACATTTTAATCGTATGGGTTTCATATTTAAATATAATGTTTGTTGCTGTACTCAACCCTTATAATTAATATTTATCTTAAGGCCGTATAAATTATGAAAAATAACAACTATAATATTATATATATATATTTCTACAACAGAAGTACCGTATCGTAATAGTTCCACAAAATCTTTCATACTTGTTTTAATTGTACACATTTTAATTGTATGAATCTATTTACCCATATTTTCAAAAATTGAAACCCGAAATCACATAGACAAAGATTTGTTTTGATTTTATTGGTTTAGAATCTAAACTGATATTAAACCAGTTAAATCGATCAAACCAGTTGGTAGCGAACTAAAATTAAAACCTAACCGAACATGATATTCAAATGTGCAACTTTATATATGGCTTCCACTTCCACTTCTCGACCAAACTGCAAAAGATTGTGTGGTCTTGAAGACTAAAGCTTTAAGCTTCCAAAAACTAAAAATAAATAAATAGAAAAACTTAAGCAGAGGAAAAAAAGTGGAATTAAAGGAAGTACCACGAACAAAGAACATACTGGCTATCTTAACGAGCAAAGGAAACTGGTTACCGAAGGTCCTAACTTACACCTTAGTACATCACACTTCATAAAATTCAAACCATTTTTAAGAGGTGTCTAGTGCTTAAAGTAGATGGTGACAAAGTCTTCTTAACAAGAATTACTTTAACCACTAACACTCTTCACATATTCTCCTAGTTACAACAATCAAGTCTCTTCCTTGACTTCTTATCTCCGTGTGTATCATGTTTCTTCTTCTTTTCTTTTAATCCTCTGTTCTTGTGATTCATGCTTTTTCTTCTTCTTTCTTTGTAGCTTCTTCCCTGCTATTCTTCTTTGTTCTTCTTCTTATGTTCTCTTCCTGTTATTTCTTGTTTAGAATTTTAATCAAGGTCAATAATCAATATCCAATATATCCTACGAAAACCGTAGACCAGAGTGCTTATTGAACTCAGCTTCAGTAAAAAATTCAAACATTAAATCCAATAATCGGATAGAACAAACATCAGCAACAGAAACAGATAAGCACATACACACATGTAGACAATAAGGAGACTCACGCAAAAAATAAAAATATTAGTGTTGACAGTGGGATTTGAACCCACGCCCTTTCGGACCAGAACCTTAATCTGGCGCCTTAGACCAACTCGGCCATATCAACTTTGATACCCACGTATTTGTAAGAATACTAAAGTCTATAAGAAATGACGTCAGCGTATAGAAATAAAACACTCAGATCTCTGCCTCTCTTTCAGTCATTGCGTGTTATGCTATACTTTTTAGCAGGGTCTCTATGGACTACTTCTCATCTTTGAGAACCTTACCTGAAATTGCAGTGAATCCAGCAGAGTTATTGCTGGACTTGGCAACTGGACAAGTGTTAGACATTAGTCTCCCGGATGAACTATTGTCTACAAAAACCACCCAAAACCTGGTTCTGAGGATGTGATAGTGAAAGTAAGAATGACATAAAGTCATAAGAGTATATATATACTTGTGTATTTGATGGACTCAGTCCTAGTGTTATGGTTGCAGTACCTGGAGGTTACTATGTTCAGGTACAAATCATAACTTGGATGGATTACTCTCTGTATTGAACCATAAGTTAACTACATGTAATGAAAATCTAACTACTTGATGATCCTACAAACTTGAAATGCACCACATACCCAAATTTATGCAGTGGCTTAAATACTTGTCCTTCATGCACTACGGCTTCAGGCTGCTTTTGAAAGCTCAATACTCGGCGGATCAAGTTTTTGAATGTGAGGAGCAAAGGTGGCTGCAGAACAACTTGAGTGGTGGTCTAGAAGTTGTGGTTTCTGCTTGCCATGGCATTTGGCTACCGCTTCTGTGCAAGCTTCTGCCTTGGCAAGTAAATCAGCATTAGCCATCTTTGATAAGAGTATGTGAACCAAAAGAAAGCTAACATATATAGATTTAAACATACAGAGATCAAAGACAATTGTTCAGGCTATTTCCAATTTTGCATGTGTCATGATGTTAGTGATTAATAAAAGAGAGCTTAGTAGGAAGGAAACTGAGAAATAGCATTGATGTGTCAAGTGTAAGCTTTTGATATAAAGCATAAAAAGAGTTATTGGTAGGCTTCTGTATTAGTCAAGAGACATTATAAAATCACACACAGGATAAAAGCCTTAGATCATTCATCGTACAGACAAGTTGCAGCAAGCTAACACTCTTGTTCAATCACTTCATGTATCTGTGCAAGAATTTTCTGTGGAAGTCATTCCTTATTGTATCATTGATGAAGCGCTTAGGTGCTTTCATTTCACCACGAGCCTGATTCTTGAATACCACATCATCATCCCACCTGAAATTAGGCAAAAACAATTCTTAGTATCAATCAATTAACATAATCCGGAGATACATGAAGAAACACGATATCAACAAAATACTAACCTCCTTTTGACACTAAACGAGGTTGGAGTGTTGTTGAGCAGTGGGTTTCCTTTGAGAAGTTCTTCTTCTTTGGCGTTTAGTTCCTCCATCTGCTGCTGCTTTTCCTGAAAAAAACGTGAATGATATATATTACTACCAAAGAAGCACAGTAACTCTGACAAGACAAACCCTCCTTATATAAACTTGTTTAGGAAAACTTATCTATCATTTTTAAATAGCAATCTGAGCAGAATCATCAAACAGACAAGAGTAATTTTACCTTCCTGAGCCTCTCCTCAACTCTTTCTTTCTTAATCTGGTCGAGTTCAGCCATGAGAGCCTCAGTGTCATCCTCGTCATCATCATCACTTTCGTCATCACTAACAAAGACAAAACAAATCGTAAGATAACTTTCACTGAAGTAGAGATATATGCGTCGACGTAAGAGAAACGACAACCACATTTTCTCCAAATTTACCAGACAATTAATTGCATCTACCCACACTATGACTTACAGATATGCCTAGTTACCAGCCCGACATTGATTCTTATCCAAATTCAAAGCACAAGAGAAGAATGGAAGAGAAAAAGAATAGGTACCTATCATCATCACTTTTGATATCAACATCAGAATCATCAGCATCTACACTGCGAGGAATAATCCGATCTTCAGGGTCCCTTTTAGAGCCTAAAATCAGGACAATCAAAGTCAGAAGACATACGATCAAACTCTATGTATTATCATGTCACATAAACAACAAGCATGACAGATAATCAAATTAAAAAATATATATATAACTTTCTCAAACCTTCTAGTAATAGCTGATTCCCTCTCCTGCGGTCTCTATCATCTAATGACAAAAACAATACACTCGTTAGTCCAGATGCAGTTAAAACAAAGAAACAAAAAAGAAAGAATCTTAAGTGAAAAAAAAAAGACTTGAAATTTAATAATCTTAACATACCAGTGTAAGATTTGTCTTTGGAAGAGAAGTGTAACCTCTCACGCTCTTCAAGCTCATCACGAAGATTCTTCTTCTCCACTTCCTCTTTAGTGTGTTGCCCTTCTCTCCTGCCAAAAACACAAGCAACACACACGTTATAATACATCCCATAAACCAGTATAAGTATCTTTCTAATTTCAACCAAACCCCTATAAGATCAGATCTCTTCCACAGATGCATAAGCTATGACTATCCATCTAAATAACAATTCCAATATCTTTCTAATTGCAATAAACCCTAGAAATCTCGATAATCTCATCAATCAAATATTAATTCGATAGAATTCACACGGATCGGATCCGTCTCGAGTCAAGGAGAAAAAAAAAACCTTGGCTTTAGAGTTGTGTGAGCGGCGACGTCACGAGACGAATACTTCTGAGAAGCGCCGAAGATACGAGCACCACCCTGCTCGTTACCTCCCTTAGCCGGAGCCCACGTTGGTCTAGCTGCAGTCGTCATCTTTCAGAAATTAAAAACCCTAAATCCCCAAATCAATCAAAATCGAGACAAGGACGAGAGGATGGATTGATAGGAGAGAGGAGAAGTATAAGAGAAAGAAGTCTATTTTATTTGTTTATAGACCCCTATTGTTTTCAGTCTTTCCTTTTCTGTCTAAAAACTTTTCTTTCTTTTTGTCTAACCACCAAGTTAAACAAAATTCACTGATAATGGCCACGTCAATGGTTGATCTTGTTGTAAAGATAACTTTTTAACTATGTGTATTGTATAACTCCAGATATAACATGAAGTATATAGGTTAAGAGTTCAAATAGTAGAATTCTTTGGTTAGGTTAAGGGAAAAGTCTTTAATTTATTTACTTACATATCCCTATTCTTTTCCTTCTTTCCTTTTTGGTAGCAAACTTTATTATTTTTTCATAATTATCTACTTTTTGCTAACATTACAAAATTCACTGATAATGGATAAGTAAATGCTAAATCTTGTTAAAAGATAACTTTGATATAGATGTCAAAAAAAAAAAAGATAACTTTGATATAACATGAACTATAGGTTAAGAGTCCATATATAGTATAATTATTTGGTTTGTTTTTACGATGATGATACTGAATGTTTACACATTACAACAAAACTACAACCCCATAACCAAAGCTTCCAAGTTTGAACAAAAGTAACACTTAGGGTCTAAATGGTAACATAGGGAACGAAGGGGAATAATCAATCTATAATATTAAAGCAGATGACTGCTTATGAATCTGCCCCTGATTTTTTAAGGAAATTACAAAACATTCCACTTCCTTTTATTTTTAATGAAAATCATCCATTAAAAGCTCAACTGAAAAATCGCCAATTAAAAGCCCAATAATTTTAACATTTATTTACAACGAAATGGGCATCAAATCTATACAAAAAATTATATATTTGTAATTTTACAAATTTATCAACAGAAGTAGGTCTGAGTATTTGACACAGACCCGAACAAGAACCGACACGAAAATACAGATCCAGGTCCGGGTTCGGGTCATTGCTAAAGTATCTATTGGGTATTTTTTGTTTGGATCCGCAGGTCTAGGTTCGTCCAGGTCCTACTAGAAACCCGATCGGGTATTCTAACTATCCACAAATTATCGTATATATTAGGTATATTTAGGGGATTGGGTATATTTTTGATAATTCAGGTATTTTTTAAAGTTTCAGATTTGGATTTTCGAATATAATATTAGGTTTTAGGTAAACTTTTAGATTTCAAAAAAATATAATTCGGGTATTGGGGAAAAAAATCCGGGTATATTTTTGATTTTTTGGGTCTGATTTTGGATAATATTTCGGAATTATTTGCGGTTCTTCGAGCTTTTTTAGAGTTTTCGGGTTTTGGGATCCAGTTTGGGTCCTTCGGATCCTTTTTCAGGTCCTAAATACCCAAACCGACCCGATAATATACCCGAACCAACAAATCTGACAAGACTCGATCCGAAATCGACCCGAAAAATTATAGATACTTATATGGGTCCAAATTTCTAAGATCCGAAAGACATGGACCCGACAAAACCCGATCCAGACCCGACTCGGATCGGGTCTTAGATATATATTAGGTATATTTAGGTGATTGGGTATATTTTTGATAATTCAGGTATTTTTTAAAGTTTCATATTTGGATTTTCAAATATAATATTAGGTTTTAGGTAAACTTTTATATTTCAAAAAATATAATTTGGGTATCGGGATAAAATTCCGGGTATATTTTAGATTTTTTGGGTCTGATTTTGGATAATATTTCGGATTTTTTTTTTGCGGTTCTTCGGGTCTTTTTAGAATTTTCGGGTTTTGGGATCCAGTTTGGGTCCTTCGGATCCTTTTCGGGTCCTAAATACCTAAACCGACCCGATAATATACCCGAACCAACAAACCTGACAAGACCCGATCCGAAATCGACCCAAAAAATTATAGATACTTATATGGGTCCAAAATTTCTAAGACCCAAAAGATATGGACCCGACAAAACCCGATCCAGACCCGACTCGAGGATCCGGATACTCGGAATTAAACAGTATATTACCCGCGCTTTGAAAGCGCGGGTCAAAATCTAGTTCCTACTTATTCCTTAAAAAATACATCATTCATAAGGAATATTTCATGCGTATAATTCCTTGTCATTCCTTGAATTCTAAGAAATTATAGAACAAAAACATTCCTTATCAAAATTGATATGGAACTAAAATAATAAATATTCCTTTTCATTCCTTTTATTTTATTCCTACTTATTATTTTCCTACTCATTCATATTCCTATTTTAATGGTCAGCCTTATTTTTTCCAATTATGAGTTATACTAGAGTGTCACAAATTTCAAAAGAGAGACCAGGTTCTTCCCTAACACTTGAGTAAACAAGTCTGTTTGGATCTTGATTTCGCCTTATGCACTTCCTTCGCAGAGGGGAAAGACTTGATACACATAACACATTTTGGATTCTGCGATGATCAAGTGCTTGTTCTGTTTCTCATTAAGCTGTGAATGTACTTTCTTCACGTTTTCAAGCTCGAGCTGAAGAGATTCCATTAACATACACAACTCACTCTCCTCTTCAGCTACTCTATGAAGTGATTTCTCAGCAAAGGCTAGCTCTAAAGTCACAACAATCACATTACTACTACTCATACTCAAATCTAAGTTGTGACGACTCTCCTTTTCAGCTACTATATACTCTTTGAAACAATTCCTTAGCAACACCTAGCTCTGAAGTCACATCTCTCACAACACTACTACCACTACTCAAAGCTAAACCTCTCTCATCATTTCTCAAGTTATTATTCATAATTCTCAGCTTATGATTGAGCTGCTCAACCATTTTTTAGCTTCCTTAAGATCTAACAAAGCCTCAATATTGGCCATCTCAGCATTCTTTATTTTCTCCTTCAACTTGTTAACCCCTCGATTCCAAAGACAAGGATCTGTCTCTTCCTACAACCACAAGTTCAGTAAATTACACCAAGAAGTCAGATGCACAAAATGTTATAAAGAAAGAACTGAACAATAAGGTATATATATATTATAAAGAAAGAACTGAAGAAAATGCACTCAATTTCAGTAAATTACACCAACTCTCTCCGGCTGAATAACAGGCAGTACATTATCTTTTAACCAGCAAACTTACTGCTTTATCCTTTATAATATCAAAAAGGTATAATATATTATTGGGCTAAACTTATTATTTGACTGTATCATAAATTAAGTGTACTGTGAAATAAGTGGGGTTTAGAACAGTGTCAGGACCGCGAAGATATCATATACCTCAACTGGAAACAAGTATTGACAATAGAAAGGATTCAAGAAGACAACTTAACAATTCCGAACAAAATAAAAGATTCACCTATGAAAAAAAATGCATGAAAAAAGTAAAGAGTTTGTCTAAAAATAAAAACATTTTATTCCCCAACAAGAATTGAGTTGTTCAAATTTAGTTAAAATATATATTGGATTTGGATAAACCCAAATGAAACAACTAAAACACTTATTGTGGTTGATTCACAAACTTCCACCAATCTCGTGTTGCTTTCATTCCTTGACATAGACACAGCCGAAACCAGCCGGCTACGAGCCATAGCAGACAAGGCAGAATAAAGTGTAGACAGAAGAGTAGTTGCAAAAAGGGAGAAATACAGTAGAGGAGGTAGAGGAAAACAAGCAACCCGAAGCTGTGACTAAATCGTCCCACGAAGTGGGCTTCTTCGCATAATGACACAATTGTCATTGCCAAAATCCAAAGCGTGCAGCTACATAGGTAGAAAAGACAATAGAACGAACCAAAATATGCCAGAAAATTTCCGGGCAAAGGAATCTCATGGGTTGTCATATACATGATTGCTTCGACGTTGAGAATTATAAGGACGCTGCTGATTGCTGCATCGTATCGTAGGTTATTGTTTGTCCTGCATATAGACATTGACATATAATTTAAGAGGATCAGGCTGAGTTACATAATCGAATTGTTATTACATAGATATGGAGTCTCACCACCATGAACGTAGGAGGCTAGGAGATTGGTGGGGTTTTGTAGTAATACTAGCTTTCGTGGCAGCAACATTAATGTTATTCATATTTCTTCTCCGATAATTTTCTTACGATGAGAAACGAAACTGCGTAATAAATGCTTTGTTAAAAATCAATGCCTGTATATATATATAGGTCGCTCAGAATATAAGGAATAATTCCATCTAGAAACCAACAAAAAATCTCTAATAATCAACAACGTAACTATAATATCTTTTTTTTTTGGTCATATATATCTTTCACATATAAAAAAGTCATTTAACAATAAATAACAACGTGACTAAAACATATCTTGCTTATATATCTTGATTAGTAAGCAAACATGATTAAAGCTTCCAATTTTAAACAAAGTGACACTTATTCTTAGTTATGCAGAGTGTCACAATCTCAAAAGAGACCAGGTTCTTCCCTCAACACTTGACTAAACAAGTCTCTTTGGATCTTGATTTCGCCTTATGCACTTCCTTTGCAGAGGGGAACGACTTGACACACATTTTGGATTCTGCCATGATCCTACTCGCTGCTGTACGCCGTCTTTTAAGCTCTAAGTCCACCACAATTGTTGCTTCTTCAGCCATCTCTGCTTTCTTCAACGCCTCTTGCGTTGCTGCTTTTATATCTTCAATCTCTTTCTCACTCATCTCTAGCTTCTTTAGTGTTTCATCTCTGCATGCTCTTAATACTTCCGTCTCAGTTAATCCACCACCACCACCACTTTCTTGAACGTTTATACATTCCTCTGCTTTTGCTTCTTCGGCTTCCAATAGAGCAATCTTGAGCTCTTCCTCTAACAACAAGAGCTCTCTCTTTGCATCTTCAGCTTCCTTCTTGAGCTTCTCAAGGGCTTGTTTTGTTTCTCTCTGCTCTTTCTCTTTAAGCTGTAAATGTTCTTTCTTCACGTTTCCAAACTCGAGCTTAAGAGACTCCATCAACATACACAATTCACTCTCCTCTTCAGCTACTCTATGAAGTGATTCCTTAGCAAAGCCTAGCTCCGAAGTCACAACTATCACATTACTACTACTACCACTCACATCTAAGTCGTGACGACTCTCATTTTCAGCTACTACTCTTTGAAGCAATTCTTTAGCAACACCTAACTCTGAAGTCACATCTCTCACAACACTACTATTACTACTCAAATCTAAAGCTTTCTCATCCTTTCTCAACTTGTGATTGAGATGGTCAACTGTTTTCTTAGCTTCCTCAAGCTCTAACAAAGCCTCAATCTTCGCCATTTCAGCACTCTTTATCTTCTCCTTCAACTTGTTAACCTCTTGATTCCAGAGACGGTGATTCGTCTCCTGCAACCACAATCAGTAAATTTACACTACGAAAACAAAAATGTTATAAATAAAGAATAAGTATACCTGTTCTTGACTCTGGTTGAGATGTTGTCCTCCAGATAAACCAGCGTTAAAGAGCTTCACTGCATCTTGAACAGAATTAAAATTAGCCATTAACTACCCAATAAAAACACTGATCTCACAAGTTTTTAGCAATGCCCTGGAGAGAAAGTACACTTTTTTTTTTTCTTTAAGTGATCAAAACCATAAAAAAGAAAGAAAGAAACTTTGCATATGGAAGATGAACCTTGAGAGTTGAGACAATGTTAAAATCAATAATGGAAGAAGCTCCGGAAAGAGGGCAACTTTGTCACTCACTCTAGTGTACACACACTATGCTCACGTGTCATGTCCGTGCAGAGATTTAGTAAAAAAAGAGAGGTCACGGGTCAACTTAACTTTTTTTTTTTTTAAGAAGTTATCTCTGCGCTGCACGTGAAGCTGCTTGTTTTTTTTTTTTTTTGTAGGACTGCTTTCTTTATATTAAATAAAAGACCCAAAAAGTTTACGGATTAACTTTTTCACAACAGTTAGCATTTTACGGTAACTAGTCGGGAACATGGAGGCAAGTGTAGCTAGCAGCCTTGAGGCATGTGTAGCTAGCAGCCACCGTCTGCAACTAGGGCTGGGAAGATTACTGCTGACGTAATGACGATTATGCCCTTGAGTTTAATGAAAATATTAAGTTTGAAACCCAACACAGGACCCGGCCCTTGAGACTGGGAATTGTTTATTAGTATGTAAACATCACGCTGTTACAAGCAATGCAAAGACGATGCTTTACTGTTTAAGCGATCTACAAACGGCGAAGCGTGCGGTAGTCGAATATTATGATTTATGGGCTTTGAAGAAGCCCACATCATAGTGTTGTCGGCCTATACCTAAAGTCGATAAACCAATAATGCAAAACGGACAAAATTATATTGAAATGGAATTATCATTCATTATATTATCTTGTACGATTTACTATTCATGTCAGAAATTGTTATGCTCTTTGACTTTTATGACATTTCACCTTTTATTTTGTCAAGACATTTCACCTTTTTGTAAAGAAAAACACTGTACATAATAAAAGAAAATAAAAGCAAAACTCTTTCTTTCTTGAAATACTCTATATCCGATAACTTTTTAAGAAGAAAAAGTCGAATACAGAAATCACTAAACTTCGGTGCTAAAAAAAAATCACTAAACCAACTTTAGAGACAGTATACAAAATAATTTTAGTTATATTCAAACAAAGTTATGATAAAGAATTATGTTTACTATAAAGTATTTTAAAAAGATTAACTTCAGAGTTTGACGTTTTTCTTGTCAGCAGGAGAATCTTTCCTATTTCTTTAAACATCCACTAAAGAGAGAACTATCACATGAATATAGCTTGCCTCTCTCTCTCTCTTTCTCTTACACATCAGTCTCTTGCTGTCTCTATCTTTCTCTCGTATTATTATTATCCAACAAAAGTAGTCACAAATCTTGAGCGGTAATTAGGAGATGATGGAGTTCAGAGAGAAGCTCTTAACGTTCAAGTTCCACATCGTCTTCGCCTTCGTTTTCTCTCTACTCACCGTCGCTCTCGTCACTTACTCACCAGGTTTTCTAACCGTTTTATCTTACTTCTGGCCTCTAGTTCTTTCCACCGCCCTCTTTCTCGCCGCCGTTTTCTTCTTCGCCCGGACCTCCGACCTTCCGACGTCATCTACCATCTCCGGAGATGGTTCCGGCTTACTAGTGGCGGCAGAGGGGATCCTTGACTATGTAGTCGGCGGACAACATGAAGAAACTCTCCTTGATAGCTTCACTAAACTCGACTAGTGTCAGAGTGTGAGATCTCTTTTGTGTTTTGAATTCCTTTTTAAGTATTTTCTTTAGTTTAATTTTTTTTTTAATAATAGAGAATATTCATAAATGTAATAGTTATTCACCTGTGGAATAAGAATCAATCTTGCTTTATGCTGTTTTTGTGATTCCTTTAGGTTTTATCGGTTATTTTATACGTTACATTACATTGATATGATTTACTTTCAAAAATCGATCATATTTTAAATGGCGAATGACCTTAAATACTGTGCATCTATTTAACTAATTTATAATATCTGTCCACCGACGCGACAAGAATTTTCATTTGTTTAGTAGTTTAACGTACGAAAACAATTAAATAGGTTAAAGATATGATGAATGTAGTATTCTTTAGCTAAGATTCTATAAAAATTGTGGGTGATCTATTAGAGAGAAGAAGAGATAAATAATTGTATAACATAGATTTGTACATTTTGGTACGTTCCTCACGTGCTTGAGCATCTCGACCACTGAATCTAAATCTTAAATTATCCCTTCGCTATCTAACTTACCTTATACAAATTGAATAAAATGCATTAAAGGTTTGCTAATGATAACGTCATCTCGGTTTAAAAACGTTGCGTAGTTCGCCTACTCGTTTCAAAAGTGACACGGACGTCGGTTAGAGATTGAGCATAGTCAGATAATTTTTCATTTAGAAAGTAGGAACGGCATGCATGTCCTGCTTCTGGGCAGAAAGGATGTTTTGATTTAAGCAGCTGAACACTGTACTACTGTAGTTTTGAAACATAAGCTTCACTGGCAAATGACTTCATTCTACAGCCATTGTAGAGGAAGTCCAAGGTATCATAGTTGAGTATAATATTTTCTTCTTCTGTTTATTGCTTACTGATAGTGTCCTTAGAATCATGGGGGGGGGGGTTAGTGGGTTGCTTAGGGAGGGGGCCCATAAAAAGAAGAGGATCCAGTTGCAAAAGAGCTAAAATAAGCACCTCTTTTTGCTGAATGCTTGCACTGTTCGGAGGCCCCATGGACACGTGGCGGCCCGCGATTGATCAACCTTTTTTTTCTTTTTTCTTTTTTTTTTTTTTAAAAAAAGACAAAATTTAAAAAAAAAATAATAATAAGCACCACTAACTAAGCATTTGCATTGATCATGCTCTTAGAGCATGATTATTGAAGATGTTTAGGAGAGGATGTTTATAAAAAACTAATAAAAAATTAAATAGGTCCCATGGTTTATTTAAGTATCGGTGCCTCTAAAACTTATTTAGGCATCAATTTTTACATTGCGGACTCTATTGATATTTGTCGGTAGAGTGGGTTGCTTAGGGAGGGGGGGCCATAAAAAGAAGAGGATCCAGTTGCAAAAGAGCTAAAATAAGCACCTCTTTTTGCCGAATGCTTGCACTGTTCGGAGGCCCCATGGACACGTGGCGGCCCGCGATTGGTCAACCCTTTTTTTCTTTTTTCTTTTTTTTTTAAAAAAAAAGACAAAATTAAAAAAAAAAAAAATAAGCACCCCTAACTAAGCATTTGCATTGATCATACTCTTAGAGCATGATTATTGAAGATGTTTAGGAGAGGATGTTTATAAAAAACTAATAAAAAATTAAATAGGTCCCATGGTTTATTTAAGCATCGGTGCCTCTAAAACTTATTTAGGCATCAATTTTTACATTGCGGACTCTATTGATATTTGTCGATCCGCGATTGGTTCATCTTTTAATTTTTTTATCACATAATTTTTTATAAAAAAATAAAACCAATAAGCCCTTCCACAAGCACCCATCCGTTAATGCTGCTCTTAGAATGTAGTGTATACACTGCACACTGGTGGTTAAAAAAACAGGTGAACCGTCTATCGATATTTTAGTAACCAGAAGATGCATTTCTTTCTTCATGAAACACTTCATCCATGAATTATACTATTCCAATATTGCTTAGCAAAATGACATGGTTTGCAAGATTGTTATCACAGTAAGCATTACAGCTATCATTCTTCTGTTTATTGCTTTCAGTTTCTTTTTACTAATTTTGCTTTCCTTCCTCATTTCAATTTTGAATAAATATTTTAATACAAAATAATGCGTTAGTTGAAAGATTAATATAGGGTTCATATCTAACAAATTAATACTCGCAGAATTAAAGATCCCCCGAGAGACCTTCGACAGTACTCCAACCTAACCAAAGGTGAAGCCTGATGTTTTCACCTTCAACTGTTACATGAATCTTAACACAAAAGGGCATTTTGATGTAGAAGAAGAGTTATGGGCGATTTAAAGTTCGCTTTTGAGCTATGCAAGGACATATTCACTAAGCGTATACTTGTTGTCGATGAGGCTATCGTGCAAGAGGTGGTTGATGCGTTGGTGAAAGGGATCAAAGGAAGAAGAAGCTGAGAAGATTGTTGAACTCGCAAACAAGGATGAATATTTCACGTTCAAGCGATGTCTCTCTTCCAGAGAGTAGTTTTATTTGCTAAAGCTTATTAACAAGTTTATATGTAGTCTATGTTTCCTCTCTCAAGTGTTTTGTCGTTGCACACTGCTATAGGAGTGAATCGAATAACCAAAACCATTGGTTGTTGTCATTTATATCGAGGATAGGAAGCTGGTGAAGAAGAAGATGAACGTAACTCTAGGGTTCAGAATATACACTTTCCGTTTTTATAAATGAGAGAACTAAAAGCAGAATATACAAAAATCTATTACAAATATTCTGGTTTTGGTGCTTTGGCCTTTGATTTATCTTTATTTAACTAATGAAGATATCAATTGACCCTATGTTTCCTTCCTAGTGTCCCGTAGAATAAACAGTTTCGGAATACTAAATATCATACATGACGCATTTTCAGGCAAGACAGGATATAAATAAATACTATTACCTTAGTTACACTTTCCTTAGTTAAACAAGAACAAACTGTATATAAAACCCTGTTGATTTGGTTTGATTGTTACACAAGCAAGCAAGCAAGCGGAAAAGGTCAAAAAGTTAGCACCTCCTCCTCCAATGGATTTCTCTGTCGACATGGTTAGCTTAAACAAATACGTAATTCTTGGATTTAACCGATTAAATATTACTATGTCTTCTATTTTTACTTTTATTACTCTTTTTTTTTTGCAGAGCTGTGAGATAAAAGTTAATAGAAACTGCGAGCTTTGCCATCGAAAAGTGACTGAAGTTATGCAGTCTCTCACCGGTACTCTCTTCTTCTCTTTTTTTTTTCTTTTTGTTGATGATCAATAATGGATTCATCTAAAGAAATTCTCTTAAATAACATTTTTATTTTATTTTCACAAAAATAGTTTTCAAAAGAAAAAAATGATCAAAATAAATTTTTATTAAAGGTTAATATGTATTTATACTTTTGTGTTAACTAATTTATACTTAGGATATAGAGTTAAAAGTGAAAATTTTGGTATAGAATTTCAAATTTTAAAAATAAAAAATAAATATTATAAATTTTAAAATAAAAATATTATTTTGATCATTTTAGTTTTTTTGAATATTATTTTTGTTGTTAATATTTATATATATTTTTGCAGGACATTACTCTGTAACGTATCTTGGAGACAACAACACAATTAAACTCAAGTCAAGAGCTAACCCTAATGTGATTATGTGGCTCAATCACAAGTACGGTGATCACGGCAAGCTCACCAACTTCGTCATGAACGGCGAACCTGTCACACCTCAACCTGGTGGCGGTTATTACGGTCCTTCAGGCTATAATAATCTTCCTTCCAACGCCCCTGGTTATTATCCATACCCTTCTCCTTACGCTCCGCAGCCGAAGCAGTTTCTCCCCGGCAACTTTGGTCTCCATATGGCTAATCCAACGCAGAAGGAGGCTCCACAGGGGATTTATAAGCAGCATACATCGCCACCGTCTTATGTTATGCAGCCTCCACCGCCAATGCCGTTGTCTAGTTACTCTTACATTGAACCTCCGTATTGGCCGTTGAATAGGATGTGATGCGTGATGAAGAAGGAATCTTCTTCTTTTGTCTCAAAGACTGCGTTTTGGTTTATGTTCTTGATCGCTGTTTTTTTTTAAATGCGTTTGCGTTATAGTTTCTGATTTGTTTGAACAGCAGTTATATAAAAGTTAAATCTATGTTATAAGATTTGATTACTTGTGCCGTACGTTACTTATCAGGTTAACATGTATTGTTGTTATTTACAAGTAGCAAGTAAGAATCTGTCAGTTAAATGAATTGTTTTTTTTTTGGTCGGCGAGTGATAACAATAATTGTGTGTTCGTTCATTTTAGTGTTGTTGCGTCATTGTTAATGACATAACTTTTAACGTTTCAAACAAGTATAATGAACAGAGATTGCTCTATTTTTTGCAACTTTGTTACTACTAGTAGTAATAATCATGGTTTTAATCAGAGACCAAAAGTATCTTTGTCATGCTTAGTTTGTTTGTTTTAAGAGAAAAAAGAACCATGATATTGGTGTATTTAGCTGCTTCCGCCAAACATGTTTTGAAGTTCAGCATCAACACTTTTGAAGCCATGATAAAATTTTAGAGACCGTTCACTACTTGTTTCGCTCCTAATCTCGTAGAAACACTTCAATAACTGACGTCCAGCATACCAGTCTCTTTTGTGGTCGTGCCACAAATATGCCTTGTTTATGAATCACAACAGATTTAGAGCAGAATTATCGCAGATTAGAAAAGAGTTGTGCTTAAATTTTTTTTCTTTTTTTTTTCTGATTAAAAAAAAAACTAAAATGCAACTAATCGCGAGTCGTCACGTGTCGTGGGTCCTGCAGAACAGTTCAAGCACCCAAGAAATCAGACGCTTATTTTGGCATCAGACGCGTCGAATTCTGTTTTTTTATGCCCTTCCTTACATGTTCCCCTAAACACCTCATTTTTCTCACGCGATGCAAGTGCTCTTACATCTTCAAGATTTAATATCAGTTAACCTCAATATTCATTTACTTATAAGACTTTGAGATTCAGCCAATATATAGTCCAAGAACATCTGCCTCAAACATAAATCATGCAAAAAGAAAAACTCCCAAATGATAGAAAACTTAAAACTTAGCGATTAGACCTGGCCGAAAACATTTTTTAATATTTCATTTGGATCAGATAGTATCGACTTGACTCTAGGTTATCTTTTGATACTAATTAATCAAATTTCAAGATTGGTGATGGCTATGAGGAGTGTTGGGTCCATCATCCTTCCCGTACACAACATCCGCATGGCCCAAGGAACAAACTAGCACTGATTACTTCTTACTTCAAGCCTGACCTCTCGTTCCCTCATCATTTGCATCTTGTGGTTGTCCAACTTCACCGCCTTTTAAACCCTTCCACTAAAACTTTTATTTCAAAAATTTCAGTTGGAAAGGAAAAAGACAAAAAAGTAGGGAGCATTGTTTTATAAAAAAAGTTTGAGCTATGCACCATAGCTTCCTTTTACATACTTGAAAACAATTGCATCTATTTGCTTTTTCACTCACCGTTCCATATAAACTCAAACAATAACATCTGCATGGAATTATCTTTCCTGAATATACTGATTTGTTTTAGAGTTTTAGGAGTCTTGTGACATCTGTACGAGAATCTTGTTTTTTTTACTCTTCCTCTCACGAATATTCCTATGGGTTTTTGGCTTTTGGCTTTAGACATTATTGAGCATATGATTGTTACACATGTATGTGTGTAATTTGATCAGTTTATCTCTCAGTAGGAATCGGACCCACTTAATTATAAGAGAGCCTGGTTGTTTATATTATTGTAGCTTGATTTTTTTTTTTCTGTTTCATTTCTATGTCCACTGATTGAGTTTACTGTTCCTCTCCTCCATGTCTTTTGGTTTTGTTTTATTTTAAATGATTTGGATTTTGATGTGTAAATAGGCTCCATGATTGATGTATACAGTCACATACATTTCTAGTTATGTACATTTGTGGCTTTAATTGATCTATCTTATGCTGTTCGAACTGTTGTATCTAGATGGTCACCATATTATTATATATTTTTTGGTATAACTAGAAGATTCTTGACCGATCGCATAAGCTAATATCTGAAACTGTGAAGATTTGGTCGGCTAATTTTACTATTGCAAATGTCCCACCGGGTCTAACCATGATAATTCAGAACTATTGATCATATATAATGACACTGACTGAGAGTTATACACACAAAGCTTCACAAAGTCGCTAGTTTAGAATACTTAAATTCCAGAACATGCTGCAAACAAAGCCTAATAACAATATAAAACTTAATTGAGATAAGTTGACCCGTTTAAGCACTCATTTTCATTCTCGTATTTAGTTTTATTATGTTGTGTCAAAATCGTAGAGTCATCTATTATTATTCGATTTTCCGCACTCGGTCATTTTCATAAGCTTAATTGATAATATAACCAAAAGACATTACTAAGCTATTTTTTCTGGTTTGTTGGATAATAAGTTTGTTCAACTAAAATTAGTCAAATCACATGTTTTCCTTTTAAACACCAACCTTTCGGGAGACCTAGAAAAAAAAAATCTATATCACTTGGATATTGGGATAAAATAGAACGGGTTGCTAATATAGTTAAACCGTTTTGAGAAAAGTGAAAACTCAACACCTAGAAGGTTCTAAACAAAGCTTCAATGTAACTCCATTTTGAAAATATCCAAATTAATAATCTATTTCGAGACTGGTGATGGATAGGTAAAGTCACTTTTTTTAATGTCAGGTAAAGTCTCTAAGATTCTCATTTTAGGGCTACCATATTTTAAAAAATTAGTAATAAATATACATTTTAATTTAATCAGATCCATAGTAACATTATCGTTAGCTGTTCTCATAGTGTACAGATGATCACACGGTTCAAGCTTACGAATGATGTCGACAGATGTTTTGAAGAAGCAAAATAAACGACATTTAAACAGTGTCGATCAATCAAAAAGTCCGCAGAGCATGAAATTAAACATCCTAATAGCAAATCAAATAGCCAGGAAATCAAAAATGAATTAAGCCCATCAAATATCATAGTTTTTTAATTTAAATTCATTATAAGCATAGGTACACGTGTGCGTAGCAGCATTATTCCCGATACCATCGGGTGCAGAGCAGACAACACATATATAGCTAAAAGTATAGTGTAAATCAGACTAGGATCTAGGAGCAATAATACAGATCGATATGATCATGTGTATGTACGTACTATTTATGTGTGCACGTATATAGTCATACGTTAATCATGATCATACTAATTTTATTTGTTTTGAAAAAAGGTTATGATCATACTAAATTTGTTCTCTGGTTTTATTGCATGGTCCTTACTTTAATGAACTACGCTTTTGCATAATATAAAGAGTAATACCACTAAATGACCATGGTTTGTTTGTTATAATCCTGCATGAACTTTTAAAATATCTAATCTCTAGAAACACAAAGGATTATAAGAACGATTTTTCTTATTAGTTTTAGAAACTACTCAAAACTAAAGCTCACAATATGTTTCTCTTAGATCATCTAATCTACTCTCTTAGATCTTATGGAACACCTCTCCATAGATCTCTATTTATATGCAAGATAATTCCCTTGAACATGTGGGATATGGAAAACACAAACCTAATCTAATAGAAAACTTCATTTTCCTATTTCTAGATTTTCTTATTGTGTTTATCTCTTAACATATTAAACATCTAATAATATGTTAAGTTTACACAAGCTTGGAATTACCCAACAATCACCCCCTTAATTCCAACTTGAATTAGGGAGATCAATTTCTTGAACATCTTTCTCAAGGTTAGACTGGATGTTCTCCTCGCTTTTGTACCGCCTCTTCTTAGAATTGGCCCAGTTCTTGTAGAACCTTCTCCTGACCTCTTTACTTAAGTTGCGATGAGTCTTGCAGCTGAAACTCGCTCTGGTCACGTCCGCCATTAACCGTACGTGAGCTGTGTCACACACTTCCGTCTTTGTGTCACATACATGAGTCGTGTTACACGACTCCATCTGTGTATCACATACTCCTGCATGAGTAGTGTTACACGTTTCCATCTTTGTGTTACATACCTCTGTATGTTTAACACCAGACTGTCTAACCACATGCTCCACTGGTACATGTGTTATGTTACACATTTCCATATGTGTGTCACACATGATTCCTTCAGCATCTATCTCTGGTTCGTCTCCAGCTTTTGACAACTTGTAACTCGACTCCATTGGAACTTGAGTCGTGTTACACCCTTGAATATATGTGTCACGCCAAATTCCTTGAGCAGGACTCTCCTCCTTTATCTTGATTTCATCTGCTCCTTGAATCTTGTCGATCCACTTTAACCATGTAGGCTTAGCAGGTGGTCTATTTACAAGCTCCCACATCTTGCTTTTTGTGATAGCTTCCATTTCGGCTACCATAGCTTCAACCCATAAGTAGTTCGACATCTTTAACTCAGCTGAGGTAAACTCTCCTCCTCTATCGATGCAGCTTAGATTAAACTTGGCCGAGGTAAACTCTCTTCCTCTATCGGTGAACCATATATTGAACTTAGCTGAGGCAAACTCTCCTCCTTTATCGGTGAGAAAGGTTCTGATGGGTTCCTTCAACCTTTTGAACCGATCGAATACCTCATGCTTCTTCTTCAATAGTATAGCTGGGAATTCATGTCTAATTTGCTTTTATGTTAGACATGCGTTACACACGACATCTCCGTGTGTTACACTCAGGAATGATTGTCTGTTTTGCTTCACTGCGTCACACACGCCTTCTTCGTGTGTTACACTCGGGAATGAGTGTTTGATCTGCTTCATTGTGTCACACACGCCTTCTTCGTGTGTTACACTCGACATTCTTTTGACTAACGTCTGAAGTCTCACCCTCCTTACACGAACAGCTCCAAGGTGTCGTGACCTGATGGCGTTACATATGTCTTTAGAAGCGGCTTGTTCTCCC